TGATGAAAACATGATTGGGCAACGTGGGAGCCCGACTAACTTCTGCTCCACCGTGACAGCAATTACCCTCACGGCCTCGAAGCATCCGACTTTTCCTGAAAGGAAGAAAGGGGAACCACGAAAAATCAACAAAGGAGGAAAAGGGATGAAATGTGGGCGAGCGGAGCTGCCTGTCCGTCACTGGGAAGTGCACTGAAAGCCTACAAAAGCCCCCAGAGAGAGTCTTTGGGGGGCTTTTCAATGTTGCCAAGAGCAAATGCTTCATCGCCCTGCCAAGTATCAGAGAGAAGACAAGAAAATTCCTCCCACACATGGAGAAAAATCAACAAAACTGGAGGATAAAGGCCACTTTCAGAGGAACACAAAGCCATAGGAGCCGCTGATGGAGGGCCAAACAGAGAGTGTGATGTAGCAGCGATGCTACAAGGCTGGAGGAAGCTTTTGATTAAAACAGACATCACTGCAACTGAAGTGAACATACAGTCACTTCATGCCTTAATCCATCATCTGCCCTCCAGCTGAATCAGAGTCACTTTAACCAGCTCAATGAAGCATCTTTAGTCCTCTGATTCCACAGGACGATTTTCCGCCTTCACACCACCTTCACACCGCCTTCACACCACCTTCAGACCACCTTCACACTACCTTCACACTACCTTCACACCACCTTCACACTACCTTCACACCTTCTTCACACTACCTTCACACCTTCTTCACACTACCTTCACACCGACTTCGCACCGCCTTCACACCACCTTCACACCACCTTCACAACTTCTTCACACCGCCCTCACACTACCTTCACACCGCCTTCACACCGCCTTCACACCACCTTCACACTATCTTCACAACGCCTTCACACCACCTTCACACTACCTTCACACCACCTTCACACCGCCTTCAGACCACCTTCGCACCACCTTCAGACCACCTTCACACCGCCTTCACACTACCTTCACACCGCCTTCACACCGCCTTCACACTACCTTCACACCACCTTCACACCGCCTTCACACTACCTTCACACCACCTTCACACCGCCTTCAAACCACCCTCACACAGCCTTTTATGATGTATGATGTTTATGATGTAAAGCACTATGAAATGCCTTGCTGCTGAAATGTCCTATACAAATACATTTTTATTGATTGATTCACACCACCTCCATACAGCCTTCACACCACCTTCACACCACCATGGGCAGGTCTGACCTGTGGAGGTCAACCTTCTGTCAAAAGAATGTAAATATCTGTTTAAAAAGGAAGAAAATGAGTTTGTCAAATCTGAAATAAACACAACACTGGCAACAAAATAACATAAATGGTTCTTTAAAAATGTATTTAGACTCAATTCAAGAATAAAAATATAACAATGAGTCTTTCTGCCAAAGTACAACATCTGAAACCCGCCAGCTGAAGGCGTCAGATTGGCCCAATCAGACAAACAAAACAAAAGAAATACAAATCACTGAAAACCATGAATGACCATTTATTCTCCATCATAATCCGTCATGCTAGACCTCACAGTGACTCTTCAGTGTGAACACTGGGATGTTTTTATTAGACTGGAGAAATTATCTCTCATTTCTACACATCAAAAATCTAAAACCAAAAACTGAAACATTTCTCCAGAGGTTGGCTAAACTTGACCTCTGAATCGTCGCCCCAGCAGGCCAACAGAGCCGGTGTTGTTCTGCGGCGTGAGGCCGCTCAGCGCCGCCAGGCTGAGGGAACCACCGGCCCGGCGGCGCTAACAGAGGACGCTCTGTGTCCCGAGCGGTAAAACATCCGCTGGAATGCAGCGAGCGCCGCAGGTGACTGGGAGTTCACTTCATACCTTCATGTTCAACCCAGCAAAGTCCAAACCGGCCGCCGGCCTCACACCGCGGTGGGAAACTCAAACTGATGGGAAACATGAACCTTCAGCTGTTACTCCTGATTATCAAACCACATTGAGCCGTTCAGTGACACATCCAGCCAATCAGAGCTCAGGTTGGATGATGATCCGACCTCTGCTACTTGAGGCACGTCTCGATTGAAAATCAATTTTCAGCTGTAAACGATTATTGATAATGATTCCATCTTCAATCTATCGGGGAGTGAAGGATCCTCACGATCTACTCCAGCAGGCGTGACGAGTCAGAGACTTGAAAGTCATCCTCCATTTTGGTTTCATAAAGCGTTCAGCAAGAGCGCCCCCTGTCTGCAGACGGACTCCTCTGTGGTTGACCATGTTGTAATTTCCATCCAGGAGTTTTTCACTACATGATAGTCTTTGTAGTTATTTAGTGAAGAATCAATAAAAGTGTTAATAATTACAGAATCAGGACAGTGGAAGCGGACGAGTTGAAGAGAAATATCAACATTTCTGCATGAAACGCAGCCAATAACTTCTGACCAATCACAAGACACCTCTGTACCAGAGGGCGTGCCGCAGCCATCAGTGTGGCTCCGCCCATTAGCCAGACCCCGCCCATCAGTCAGGCTCCTCCCATCAGCGTGGTTCAGCCCATCAGCATGGCTCCGCCCATCAGCGTGGCTCCGCCCATCAGCGTGGCTCCGCCCATCAGCGTGGCTCCGCCCATCAGTGTGGCTCCGCCCATCAGCATTGTTTCCAAAGTTCTCAAACTTCATTTTCACACAGTAAAAGTTCTGTGCCTGCATGGCGACTTTTATCACTTGTGATGCAAAACACTTTGACCTTGAAAGGTCAAGGGCCAGGAAAAGAGCATATAACATCTCTGCAGATGCCACACATGCTGGACATGAACTGTTTGGACTTTTACCTGCAGGGCGGCGCCACAGACACAGTTTTCTTCCCTCACACCATCCATCTCTATGATTTATAAATATATTTCTGCACAATCTTGACCAATCAAGCAGATTCTGATGATAAAACAACCAAAAGTGCAGAAGAAGAAAATGTTGAGGTGGTGACATAATTTTCCAGGATGTATTTACAGTTCCATCCAGTCGTCTTAAGATTTTATTTGACAAGTTTATTGTTTTAATATTGTTATAATACATTGATGCAGAATGCAGTTTTTACATTCACTCGATTCTGACTTCACTCTCTGGCTGTTAAAGAAAAAATACCAGAAAAACTCCAGTTTTAATCAACTCAAGCAGATATTTAAATGCTGAACATCAAACCTCCTTCAGAAAATGACTGATGCAATTGGTGCAATAGGAATAACCTCCATATTAAGTTTTTTGTTCACTTTTCTCAGACAGGAAGCGAGCAGCAGCGATCGGTTTTATTTAAACGATCAGCTGCTCAACATTTGACACCACAGTTTCAATCTGCTATTCTGAGCTGGGAGCGGCTCGCTCATGTTCACCGTGGAGCAGAAACAAGAAACAATGTGCAACAGTCAGAATCAGCCTTTAGCTCCATTTACAGCCTTAAAATCCAACAGCAAACCCAGATTCATTGATCTGATCTAAAAACTGTTTCCAGAGTCCAGCTTGCTGCCGTCACAACTTCACAGCTCTGAAGGAAACACACCGAGGAATGCTACACACACACACCAACACCCTGTGCATTGTTGGAGACATAGTGTGTGTCCATCATGTGCTGCAGGAGAAAAACAAACAGCTGAGAGCAAATCTGCTTTTTCAAACTGATTATTGAAAAATAAAAAGCAAATGATAAATTACTTTCAGAACTTATTTTTATATTGTTTTAGTAGCTTTTAGAGGAACCTGAGTCATAAATTTGTTCCATTCTGATACATTTCCCTGAAAACGCCTCAGTGCTGCCCTCTCTGGGTTGAACACTGGTTACTGTAGTTGAATTTTCTGATTGGCTCCAGAGGTGCGTATATTCAGGTGCGTTAAAATAATCCAGAACTTCTCAGTAAATTCTTAAAATCAGTAAAACTCAGAAAAAACTGCAGAGTCTGAGTGAATCAACGTTTAAACTTCTGTAGAGAAAAGAGACTTTCAGCTGCTTCCATCCACAACTCCTTCACTCCATTTAGAAAATATTACAGAGACATTTTTGCAGGAGAAAAGGGAGTTGTGATGTCATCAGAATCAAACCCCAACAAGTTTGGTGTTGATCTACCTGGTCTACCTGATCTACCTGGTCTACCTGATCTACCTGATCTACCACACAAAAGCAGAGTTAAGATGGAGGCATTAGATCCTCCAGATGTTCCCCAGCTAGAACACGACTCAGTTCAAGAACCTGAACAAACAGATGAGCAATTATACAACCATACAGCTTTGAAAAGCAGAAGTGGAGCCTCCTGCAAAATCAGAATGCAGCAAGTGATTTCTGATTTGCAAGTCATCATCAAAACACTTGTCTTGTGTTTTCCAGCAGCCATTGTGCATCACATACACAAACTGGAAAACCAGCTGATCAAATGGACCAGGTTGCTAAGGAACGGGTGGAGCTCCGCTGTGGTTGCTAGGTAACAGAGCAGTGCCACTAAACCATTTTTCCAGACACCAAAAAATCTTTAACTTATTTCCCAAAACAACAAATGGAAGAATGAAACATACAAAACATAAAATTTTATTAATCATCTTTAAAGTTTTAGGATGACATCATGCAGTATCATATTGATAAGAGATGATAAGAACTATTGATTTTATGACTGTGCAGTTAAAGCCCCACAGACACAATAATGCACTGAAAACATTCCCAGTTTCTTAAGGACAGGAGTCACATAAAGAAGCTTCATTGATAAACTGCACATGGTGATTGTATTTAGGAGCCATGAAGCCTTTCAATGACCAAACACTGGAGAAGCATCGATCCTAACAACAGGACAGTTTGAGCCTCATTAACTGAAAGCTATTTTAACAATAAATCTAAATTCTCATAATGATCAAATTTATCCCATTAATGCCCACACTACATGGAACACGGTCGGTTCTGCTTAAAGGTCCAAGAATTGGACTTAAAAGCTGTTCAGCTTTTTAACTTAAAGAAAACTTTAGATAAAAACCAAATGGCCAGAATAAAACTCTCTTCTGCATCTTCCTCACCTCTTTCTTCTCCTCATCCTCATGCTGGTAAAGGGGCATCTGCAGAAAGTCGTCTTCGCAGCAGATGAAGCTCACCGTGCATCCCATCCGGGCTCCTGCACAGACCCATCCAGCAGAGCGGCTTCCTCCCGGCCCGGCTGCCCGGGCTGCCCGCGGCTCTCCGCGGCTCACCGCCCGGCTCCCTGCGGCTGTCGGCGGCCGGGACTCAGGACCTCAGTGCGGCCGAGCTGCCCGCGGCCTGCCCGGCATCACCGCGCTGGAGAACCCGATCTGCCCTGCGGGGAAGTTTCCAGGTGTTTCCGCAGCTGCTGGGCCAGTTTGAGGGAACAAACAGGTAGTCTGCAGACTGACGCTGAAGCGACGCTCACTCACCTTTACGCGTGTCCAACAAGCTGCTCTCTGATTGGCTCTTCGTGCTGTCGCTCAGGATCAAAGCCACATGCTGGAGAAGTTTTAAAAGCTTCCGGTTGCTTTAACGACCAGCTGCAAAACTGAACCACCTTCCTCTCGTCATATGTTACATCCAGAGGCATCTGTTAGTCTGGACTCAAATATTTACTGCGAACATTTGGGCCTGAAGTTTTAACGGCTTTCTGATGCAGCAACAGCGCCCCCTGCTGTTTGCTTCAAGGCACAGCAAGTCCACCAACATTACAGTGAAACCTTCACAACAAGCTGGATTATTGAGCCATCAGAGGCAGAATGGGATCATTTTTCTGCCATACTGTCACCATGCTATTCATGTAAGTTCCACAATTAGCAACTAAATATTTAATTAACTAGCGATAAATTTTAATTAACGAAAAATCTGCAGAGATTTTAGCTCATTTTAACAAGATCAAAATATTTAGTTTGGAGATAAATATTTAACTTAAAACTAAATATTTAGCTTTCTAACCAAAGATTTAGATTCAAACTAAATACTTGACTTGCTAAGTAAATATTTAGTTTGGATTTAATTATTTAGTTGGTTAACTAATCAAACCTGCAGCTTCCTAAAAGCAGATTGTTGCAGCTCTCATGCAGCTGCTTGGTTATGTAACGGCAGATAAGATTGTTTATTCTTCAAAATCAGTTCCACATATTTTAGTCTTTTGATCTCTCAGTCATAATAAACGGCGCTTCTCTCAGCACTTTGCTCGATACGAGAAGAGCTCAGCCTGATCCGGCCTGATCCGAGCTCATCCTGAACCGAACTCATTCTGATCCGAGCTCAGCCTGATCTGAGCTGCAGCTGTGATCAAAGTTACAGCAAAACCACAAGCACAGCCATTTATTTTGTGTTTTACATAAAGTGAACAAACAAAATATATTATTTACAACATAAGCCATATAAAACTCAGATAATTGATGATTCATCCACAGGAGCTGGAACTGATTATAGTAAAATATTAAATTTGCTTATTACAGTAATAAATGAGAACCAGCCGTTTGGTTTTGCCCATTGGTTTCAGATCTGCTGCCACTCTCCCGTAAAGCTGTGGTTATTATGTGGTTATAATAACGGCCCAGTCGACCGGTCGGACTCAGGCAGGTCTGGTTCTTCATCTGTCCACTAAGTGCAGGTCCAGTTGTTTGTCTGGAACCAGAACTGTACGATTGATGCTTTTCAACTCTCCAGTCGTCGGGTCTGGCTGGACTTCAAAGTGACGAATCAGCTGAAGACGAAAAACAGGAAGTAAATAAAAATAGTGAAGCTTCATTTTAATCATTTGATGCAACTGTAGAAATGGATGGATTAGTGGGAAGCTGAAGGGTTGATTTCAGAGATTCAGTCACCAGGTTTGGTGTTGAAAGGTCCTGGTTCTGATCTGTGGATCTTGGAGTTTATCTGTTCCTGTTTGTGATGTTTCCTTGGAAGCTCATCGGTTCTGTCTTAAATTAAAGCTTCTTATCTGGTTCATATTTTGAGCTACTGTCTGTTTACTGTGCCTCAAACGTTCAGATTTTATTGAGGGTTTTTTCTGAAGCTAAGGATAATATTGTCATGCAGATTATGCTGCTTCATTCCACAATGTTCTGTGTTGAGAAAAAGTCTTTATTTCTCCCAGCAGTAAGAGTTTATGAGAATCTAACTATGCAGACGACACTCCGCTCTGTTCATGTTTAGTGTTAAAACATTATTTCTAACAGATTCCAGTGATGGATTGTATCTGAAGTCAAGAATCAATTAATGTTCCTAAGCTGGAAGCATCACTCACACCAGGGTTGGTCACGGCGTTCCACAGGGTTGTGTGCTAGGACTATTTCATGTTTTATGATACAATTCTGAATTTCAAATCTTTCTGAAATCAGTACCTTTTCAAGCTTCTTTATCATGTTGCATTGTTTGTTACCTGAAACAGAACCAAGTACATTTCGAGTTCTGCGATCCTGCGACCAACGCAGCCTCGAACGCCGTAGCCAAACGGGATGGAGCCGAAGGCGTTGGGCCTCTGGCGGCCGTCACGCAGCCATCGCTCCGGCTTGAACCGGTACGGTTCTGGAAAGGTGTTCTCATCATGACTGATGGCGTAGTGGCAGAGCGTGAAACAAGTCTGGAGAAAGACGAGTGAAAAGATTCAGGAAGGTCAGCAAGGTGCATTTCTAATTCCCAGAAGACGTCCGCCCAACTTAAACCTTTACACTGACAGTAAGTACTAGTGTTGGGCCTCCATTTTACTCAAACGGACTGATCTGGACGCCATGTTGCAGATGTCACAAAAGGTTACATGAATTTGGTAAACATTCTGACCAGGACACCAACCAGATTCACATGTTGATTAGTTTGACTCTGGTCACGAAAGACTTAAAACATTTAAATAATAAATTAAAGATCAGTTGTTTGTGAAGCCAAAAACCTTTAATTATAATGTTTCTCATCACGAGTGATGCTTGTAAATATACGACACTGCGATATAAAAAAGAATCGGACCACTTCCCAATTGTTCTAGCAGGAGATTTTAACCAAGTCTTAGATACTGTTTTGGATAGATCTGGGAAATCAATTCCTAAAAGTAGTAAAACCCAGGATGCGATCAAAGATCTATGCAGATATACTGGTTTATCAGATGTTTGGAGACTCCTAAACCCCTCAACTCGAGACTATACATTCTTCTCAAATAGGCACTCGGTTTATAGTAGGATAGACTATTTTTTGATCTCACACATTCTCATTGAAAGCGTTGGAAATAGCAACATTGGTTCAATAGCACTAACCGATCATGCCCCCATAGACCTAGTCCTACATTTGGGATCTCATTATGAAAGAGCTAAGGGATGGAGGATGAATACCAGCTTACTAAACGACGATGATGTATGCAAAAAACTCAAAGAACTAATTACTGAATACTTTAAAATTAACAATAACACCGCAGACCAAAACTCAATCTGGGATGGCTTCAAAGCGTATATTCGGGGAATATTGATACAACACTCAGCCCGGATCAAAAAACGAGATTCCCAAAATATAAACCTATACGAAAGTGAGATAAAGGTACTGGAAAGGGACTATTCAGAAAACCTTAACCCATCAACTTTTGACAAACTTGTTAGAGCTAAATACGAGCTAAATACAATATTTTCAAAAAAAGTAGAATATTCTCTTTATAGGCTTAAACAGAAATGGTATGAATCAGGTGATAAAGCGGATAAATTGTTAGCCACCCAATTACGGGCCAAACAAGCAACGCGTCAAATTAGTGCGATAAAGAACAAGGCTGGGAACATAATGACTAGTCAGAAAGAAATTAATAATGCCTTCAAAGATTTCTATAAACATCTGTATGCTCAAGAAGGGAAATTTGATGCAAGTTCAGCAGAAGAGTTTTTTGGAAGTCTGAATCTTCAGAAACTGTCCGAAGAGAGTGCTGCACAATTAGAAAGACCAATAACCGCGGAAGAGCTCGTTAAAACTATTAAAGTCTCACCCAATGGAAAAACTCCAGGCCTGGATGGTATTCCTAATGAGTTTTATAAAAAATTTGTATCTGAACTGAGTCCAGAATTGTTGAAAACTTTTAACTCAGCTATCGACTCACGTCGATTTCCCACATCAATGACAGAATCATTAATCACTGTTATCCCGAAAAAAGGAAAAGATCCTCTAGAATGTTCAAGCTACAGGCCGATAAGCCTACTATGCTGTGATGCAAAATTATTCACAAAAATATTATCACTGCGAATTAACAAAGTCATAACATCAATAATACACCCAGACCAAACGGGCTTCGTCAAGGGCAGAACCTCATCGGATGGTCTAAGACGATTATTACATCTGATCTGGAAAGCCCAACAATCAAATGTTCCGGTAGCAGCCCTGTCATTGGATGCGGAAAAGGCATTCGACAGGGTTAGTTGGAACTACCTGTATTATGTGCTTGCAAAATTTGGGTTTGGAGAATCTTTTCTAGAAATAATAAGAATGATATACTCAGATCCAAAAGCGATGGTAACAACCAATGGATCGAGATCATCCCAATTTCTGATCGAACGCGGGACCAAACAGGGTGACCCATTGTCACCTCTGCTCTTTATTATAGCTCTAGAGCCCTTGGCTCAAGCCATCAGACAAAACGAAACAATAAAAGGTATAACAATGGGCGGACTAGACAACAAAACGCTAATGTTTGCAGATGATGTGCTGCTACTACTGTCAAACCCGGAGGAATCGCTACCTCCTTTACTAGATTTGATCAACAAATTTTCTGAGTTATCCGGATACAAGATTAACTGGTCTAAATGCGAAGTAATGCCCCTGTCAAAATTTTGTCATAAAAGTCACATACAAAAATGGAAATTTCAGTGGGTACCAAAAAAACTTAAATACTTGGGCATAATGATGAATCCGGGCCTGGAACATTATTCTAGATAATTTTGAACCTATGATAAATAAGATAAGCTTGCTTCTAAGGGGTGGGACAAACTACAAATATCACTGTGGGGTAGAGTCCAGGCAATTAAAATGATTATTACACCAAAATTGAATTACCTTTTTAATTCATTACCCTTAAAATACCACATTCCATATTTAAGACTCTGGACAAAATCATGAACGACTTTATCTGGGAAGGGAAAAAGCCTAAAATGTCGGCCCTAAAACTCCAGACTAAGATAAAATACGGAGGATTACGATTATCCAACATACAACTTTATCAGGAAGCTTTTATAAGCTCACAAATAACATCACTTATGTTAAAAACTCACGATAGTCCAATTTGGGTAAAATTGGAAGAGGAAATAAATACTCCATTCAAAGCTCTTGATTATCTATCTCAACATCCAAATGACGGCGTTAGATCGAATCCAATTATGAATCACACTAAAAATGTATGGCATCATCTACATAAAAAAGCAAATATTTGTCCCTTCATTCAAGGAACAGCTTCAGTGTGGAAAAACCCAAAAATAAAAATAGAGGGCAAAATGATCTTTTGGAGGAGATGGCACACAAAAGGGATCGACAATATAAACTGCTTCTTCCAAAACGGTGACTTACTGTCATTTCAACAATTTCGAGAATTATTCGATCTACACCACCAAGATTTTTGGAAGTTCTTACAAATAAGGGACTGCCTCACCAAATTAAAGAAATCTGAGGAAATCATACCCACGGAATCACTAATATACAATACTTTTAATAAATTGAAAGATTCCCCAAAACGAGTAAGTCATATTTACAACTACCTGCTTGAGAACGTTTGCGATTCCAATACAGGACTTAAAAAGGTATGGGAATCAGAATTAAACAAAAAGTTCACAGAGGAGCAGTGGGGTATAATAGTCAAACAGATTATGAAGCCCATGAGAGATGCGCGCTCCAAATTGATACAATTCAAAATTCTGAATCGCTTATATTGGACACCTGTTAAATTATTTAGAGCTAAGATAAGTAACTCAGATATTGCTGGCGATGTAAACAAAGTCGGGGAACTTTACTACACATGTTCCTCATGTGCCCGAACCTAACTACTTACTGGCAGGAGGTTATGGATAAAATTAACAGCACCCTAAAGTCAAAGTTAATACTGACACCGACGGTGGGACTTCTTAATTTCCTAGACTACAAAGCCAAATTGAAAGGAGAAAATTGCAATGGTTAAAAATAGCCCTCACCACGCAAGGCGAATTATATTAAGACACTGGAAAGGTCAAAATACCCCTACCTGTACGGAATGGTATGCGGCACTCGTAGAGACTGCCTCTTACGAAAGACTCATCCACAAAATAATGACCAATTTGAAGTATATCAGAATATGTGGGAGCCGTTCTTAAAACCAGAGAGGAAAGGCCCAAATATTACTGGTTCAAAATAAAGTCACTGTGTGTGTGAACCCTTTATTTATATTTAAGTTTATTTTTATTTATTTAATGTCTCGTGCGTTTCTTTTTTTTTTTTTTTTTTTTCTGTTGGCTGAGAGGGGGGAACAGGGGAAGATTGGGAGGGGGTTCAGGGGAGAAAATGTTAAAACCAAGTCCTATTATGTATAAATAACCAGTGCTATACACTTTAATGTACTGTTATTGTTAATGTTGTCTTTATTGTAAATTTTACTGTTGAAGGACTCAATAAACATTGAAAAAAAGAAAAGAAAAAAAAAAGAATCGGACCCACGTTCTTTGGAAACTGATATCCGCCAACAGAAATGGGTTTTTCTGTTATGATCCGTGCGTTCATGGGAACCACAGGGTACATCCTGTTGGGGATCAGTCAGCAGATTGTTAACAGTTTGTGGTTATCACAGTGATTCTTTCAGAAACACTGAAGCGTCTCCATGCTGTCTGACCTCAGAGTTTCCTTGATCACGGCTCGTAAAAACGGCATCGCAGTGACCTCTGCGGCGCTGGGGATCCGGTCCGCCGGTACCAGAGAGGAAACCTCCTCATAAAGTCTGTCCTGGACTTCTGGGTTCCTGGACAGCTGGTACAAAGCCCAGGTCAGGGTGTTGGACGTCTTTGAGACAAAGACACAGACATGCAACCAGAAAGTAGCTTTAAAATTAATACCAACAAAGTTGATAAACACCAAAATGTTCCTGGAAAAAGCTTTAGGCGTCCGGTACGTAGAAATACTTGAACTAAGGAGGATGTTGACTTGTTCAGTGTTGCGTACCGTGTCCACGCCGGCTAACAGCAGCTCCGTCACGCTGGCGTAGACGTCCTTACTGCTCATCTGGGTGTTGGACAGGAGGTACGTCAGATATTCTCCCTCCACATCCTGGTTGTTGTCCAGGCGCTGCTGAATGTCCTCCATCTTCTTGTCGATCAAAGTTTTAGCTACAGGAGAGCAAATGAAGCTCAGTATTGATCAATCTCTTATTGTTAGTTTTGTTTGATCATGATTCTCTTTTTATGGTTTCCAATCATTTCCTGGTTAAAAACCCTCAGCTGAGCGTCTGCGTCTCGCTCAGGTTGTTTCTGGAGCATCAAGCTCATCCTCGCCTACGGCAACCCAAAAGTGCCACAAGTTGTCACCTTTACTTCACATTTGGTGAAAAAAAATCAAGCAAGTCAGGATTCCATAAAATACCACCAAATCCCATCTGCAGGCTGTTTTTCACCATCTGCAGAACAAACCCCCCAAAAAACTGTTTATTCAACTAACTGAAGCTGCTGTTTGTGTTCAATGTAGAGTTTAAGGTTTAGTGGCCTGAATAAACGCAGTTTTTCTCTGGCAATAAGAAAGCAGTGCGATATCGTAGAGCTTCCTGACTTATAAACTCCGTCTCTTGTATCAGACACATGGCAGCAAAACGTGGTGATTTGTGGCACCAGCAGCTTGCGATGCTCATCGTTGTTTTCTCTAACTCACCGAAGCTGAAGATGCCCTCCCAGCCGGCGACGTAGCGCCTCCAGAACGGCAGCAGGCTGCGGCTCCACTTGGGCGATATCACCACAGCCATGCTGTTGGAGAACATCTGGGCGATGGAGTTTATGAATTCTTGGGTTCCGGCAGGAATTTCCTCTTCCAGGCAGCCGAGTCGAGTCTCAAACAGTATGGAGGCGATTCCTGGATGACAATGACAATCAAACGCAAAATTAAAAACCATTTGTCAGAGTACTGATTCTTGGGAATGATGTTTGCTGCATACCTTCCAGAGAAAACAGATACAGCTCATTGGAAACGTCAGGAACCCGGTCGCCTGTCGGGCTGCAGAGACGCAGACGTTTGATCCGTTTGATGAAGTCTGTCACCACGGCGTTGATCACCCCGTCATACTGAGCTGAATCCCTGGGATGCAGCATCCGCTTGTTGAGAACCGCCCTCAGCCGGTACCAGCGCGCTCCCCTTCCCTGGCAGCACAAACATCCGTCACATTTTCTACAAATGGAGAAAATTAATATCAAGACAAAAGTCTGTTGGTGATGCTGAATTGTGTTTTTGATGCATATCTCGATCTTTAGGTTTGCAAGTCAAAATATATGAAATGTTTTTCTATGCACTAAAAGGATATTTTGGTGAAAGTGGTGCAAACATAGCGCCCTGCGGAGCTCTGCAGCTCAGATACATTTACAGCAGAAACAGCATTCAAAGCCTGGACTGCTCAGACGAAAAGATTAAAAAATGCAGTTTAATTCTTATTTGATTAAACAGAAATTTAAACAGAATTTACAGTTTTTACTGAACTGCCAGTGTTTAGTGTTTTCACACCTGACACTGTGATAAACTTGTTCCATTGGGGACCAAAGTTGCAACATTTGTTTCATTTTCAGCTGAGCAACCTGTTCCCCTCCACACCTGTGGGGGCGCTGCACCAAGAACCAATGAAGGAAACGGCACAAAAACATCCAACATATTTTTCTTTCAGTGTGGAAATACTGAGACATGAGTTTTACATTTAAATACATGTAGATACATTAATATTTCCACAGTTCATGATATTAACACTAAATGTCATTTTCAGGGTTTTCCTCTTCACCCTGTGTCCAGGAAATGGCGGGAATAACCATGGCAACCAGCGATAGGAAGTTCTGAGTCGCTATTTTTTAAATGTGTTTTAAAAATAAAAATCAGGTTTACACAGACTAAAATCAAGAACGCAGTAATTGTGCTTTGCCTGCAGGTGGTGATAATGTCGACTAAACGCGATTTAAGAGAAGATCCTGGCTGGTGTTGGCCTGAAACGGTGCTGTCCATCTTTTCTTTGACAGACTGAATCACTTGAGATAATTGTACATTTTCTCAAAAACATTTTTGTCATTTCTGTGAATGTTTGTCAAAAACATTGTGTTGTTACCAGTTCTGACCTGCAGGTGGCAGTATTTCTTACTTCCACCACCTGATGTCCAGTTATCTGTGATCGATGTGGCAGCAAAAAGCTTCAAGTTCTTTAAATAATAAAAATGTTGTTGCGTCCAGTTTGTCTGATTTTTTTTCTTTTTTTAGAGTTTGTAAGAAAAATTGTTGCAAGATTCTTTCTATTGAGCCTCTTTCAGCTCATGACCTTTATTCCTGCAAGCTGTTCTAACCAGTTGAGTTTGTTTTTTATGGGTTTACTCTGTGAAGGGTCCGTATCCGAACCCCCTCATGTCTCGGTACTCCGTCCACAGAGACATGTCTCCTCTGGACGGAAACTTCTCGTCCTTCCTCAGCAGCTCCTCCAGCAGCTCGGCCGTGTTCACCGACACCGACTTCAGCCCGCTCCGGTAGATGGGTCCATACAGCTGCTTCTCGTACAGCTGAGAGGGAGAGAACAAGAAGGAAACCCAATCAGACCCGATCAGACCCGACCAGAATCCTGATGAAAACCTGGAACCTGACCTCAGGTGAACCAGGTTCGCCCTCGTTTAGCTCATTTAGCTACACCTGTTTTCCCTTCTGATCCTGATATCTGAGGTTTAGTACCTGAATTGATTTAAAACGTTTCTTTTTTTCCAGATAGTTTCATGTACTGGCTAAAGACACCAACAGCTTCAAAGTTTGTAAAAACAACTTGAATGTGTTCAGTCAGTTCGATGAGTCATATAACGATGTAAAATAAACTACAACGAAAAGCAAACATGAAAAATAAACTGCAACCAATGTGTTTCTCCACACTGAGCTTCTGCATGAAGGAAATCTCCAGGAACGTTCTGCACCCTTCAGACATCACCGTTCTGATTGTCCGATCATCTAGTAGTGACGTCATTACCAATCGGATCAGCACCTCTCCAACAGAAACAAAGGTAATGCTTTGTTTCTGTTGGAGAGACAAAGCATTGTCTGCTTCGGTCATGAAAAACAAATGTATGACCCAAACCTGGCCTTGTTTGGGTCATGCAACATATCTAACGCCAACAGAACCAGCGTTGTCAGCACCAGGATGTGGAAGCAGCTTGGGCTGCAGAGCGGTCAGGTACCTGCAGCTCATGCAGACGGTTGTAGTAGCCCTGGACCAGCATCCTGTAGAGCATCTCCCAGAAGCTGACCCGGGGCAGGTCCGAGGCGGTCCGAGGCTTGTCCTGCGGGGCGGGCAGGACGGAGGGAGCGGTCCGGCACCGCTCCCGGCAGCAGACCCGGCTCCATGGCAGCAGACCGCCGGGCCTCCCTGACAGCGCTCGGCTCGACAGCCACGCAGCCATGGCAGGAGGCGAGTGGAAAACACACGGATCCCGTTACATCCAAGCTGCTGCGGCAGGGAGGAGCCGGGCCAGAGCGCAACTTAACCCGTCCAGATCTGAAGACACAAACCACAAAGGAAGGAGTCTGAGGAAATGTTGAGTTTTCTCTGGTTTCTCTGGTTTAAAGCCTTTTGAGTTATGTAATCTCTCCGTTGTTGTGAAACGTCTTAATAAGCCGATCTGCTCCCAACAATGAAGCTTGGTTTCCCTTTTAAGGGAACAGCCTCCTCGCTCTGGATTACACAACCTCTGGGGCTGAGCCTGAAACACCAGCTGCTCACAGCAGAACGTCCCACTGTTTACACAACCTGAACTTTCCTGAACTCGGAAGCTCTTATGTTGGAATTTTTCAGAGTTATGTCTTCAAGGAACTGCACCAGTCCTGCAGTGTGAGTGAGTCATCTGCCTGCTCAGAGGATCTGTGCTGGCCTGTTTGTGGGAGTCTGTTGGCGCCTGCACACCTGTTGGTCATTTAGGCTCAGGATGACCTCTTGGTGACCTTCACAGTGCACTAGCCGTGTTTCTATTAGCGTTCAGATCTGAGAAAGATTTGTTATGGATGGATGGATGGATGGATGGATGGATGGATGGATGGATGGATGGATGGATGGATGGATGGATGGATGGATGGATGGATGGATGGATGGATGGATGGATGGATGGATGGATGGATGGATGGATGGATGGATGGATGGATGGCTTCAGCAAACAGAAAAGAGGAAACAAATATTTTTAGATAATAATGTTATAATTTAATTATTTTATATTTATAAAATCTGTGACAATTATCTCTTAAATTTGTATAACAAGAAAAATAAAACTGAACACAAATATAGATTATACCACAACAGAAAAAACATTATATTACTAATTACATGATCAAAAGCAAATTAATTGAACACAATTAGTGTTTATGACAAACATGTAATCAGATATTCACACCTGCAGTCGCATACAGACATAAACCCCAGAATGAAGAACTGCAATTGTAAAGTAAATAAAAATTATTTAATCAATTTAAATCTTTTCACAATGCAATGTATTCAGTACAATAAAGAGTTCATTTTTGTATTCTCTCTAAGTTTCACAGTAAACAGAACCAGAGACTTTCAGTGCAGCTCAGACTTTGGTTCACTCAGATCTGCTTTTTCCAACCGGTTCAGAAGAATCTTTCTTTTAATGAGGCAAACCTGAAATATTCCTTTTTTAAGTTTTCAATCTGCCATGATTTATACAAATGCTTTCCAACAATAGAACAGACTATTTGTTTAATTAAAATATTGTATGTTTAGCTTGTTGTTGAACCAAAATGATCTTTTTTTAAAATCTATTTTACAAATATATCTTTATTTTACTTGTCACTTTTGGCCAAATGACATCAGCTTTAGAAACCCTGTGTATAAATTATACACACTAAACTAAAAACATTACAATTTAGCAAAACAAAACAAAAAAACTCACAGATTGTTTCTGCACATCAACACCATGAATGTAAACGCTCCAGGAAAAGGAAGCAGCTGTTAGCAGCTGTTAGCAGCTGTTAGCAGCTGTTAGCAGCTGTTAGCAGCTGTAGCAGCTGTTAGCAGCTGCTAGCTTTGATGTTAGCATACAGAAAGTGCTTCCATAGGTTTTCTCCCTATTAATAATGAAAGTGTGGAAATGCATGTAAGTTTATCATCCAGACCTAAATACATTATTGCTGTGATTGCACACATTATGGTTGGCTAATGAGTTAGCCTCTAGCTAACTAGCTAAAGGCTAACTGTCAATAACAGAAGATTTCACATTAAAACAAAACAGAAGCAGAACTTTTGGGCCATTTAGCTAAACTGTTAATCAAACTGTTCCTTCATCGTCGGTCCACAAAGAGCAGGTCCAGTTGCTTGTTTGGCACCAAAACGGCCCGACTGACGATCTCTAGATCATCCGCAGTGGGGTTCGCTTTGATTTCAAACTCTCGAATAAGCTGAGAAAAAATGCCAAAGATACATAATAATTTAGAATATTTTAGGAAAACATGGACAGATAAACTTTAAGTATTTATTTTAATAATTATGTGTCCAGATAATGAAAATCTAATTCTATAAAACTAATACATGCATTTTTAATCCAGAAATCCAATGTTTTTAATGGGAAGGAAACACTTTCATAGTATCAATCTGGTGTAATGAATCTATGAGTTTGACTTCTTTAAATCAAATTTGAAATCAATGTAATTATTTATGAAATAATTTCTGCTTTGATTGGAAGGTAAAGGCTAACTGAACTCTCCTACAAACCTCAGTCCGGTCGAAGTGAACTCTGGTTTGGTTTGCAATGTGAACGCATGTGTTTGGGTTTTGTACCTACCCGAAACAGAACCAAGTACATCTCGAGTTCTGCGATCCTGCGACCAACGCAGCCTCGAACGCCGTAGCCAAACGGGATGGAGCCGAAGGCGTTGGGCCTCTGGCGGCCGTCACGCAGCCATCGCTCCGGCTTGAACCGGTACGGTTCTGGAAAGGTGTTCTCATCATGACTGATGACGTAGTGGCAGAGCGTGAACAAGGCAAAGCGACAGAGCAAAGTTTTCTATTGTTCTTAAAACTGGATCTGGAGAAAATCTACTTTGTTGTATTACAAAACAAAAATCAGACCCACTTTTTCTGGAAACTGATATCCACCAACAGCAACAGGCTTTTCTTTAATGATCCTTGAATTTATAGGAACCACAGGATACATCCTGTAAAAAACAAGGTAAGATTATAAACAGGCTGCATGGAGTTAACACTGAAGCGTCTCCATGCTGTCTGACCTCAGAGTTTCCTTGATCACGGCTCGTAAAAACGGCATCGCAGTGACCTCTGCGGCGCTGGGATCCGGTCCGCCGGTACCAGAGAGGAAACCTCCTCATAAAGTCTGTCCTGGACTTCTGGGTTCCTGGACAGCTGGTACAAAGCCCAGGTCAGGGTGTTGGACGTCTTTGAGACAAAGACACAGACACATTTGAATCACTGTGTAGAAAAGCCAGAATCTAACTGGAAGGTGAATCCAGTCAGAATCCCAAACCCGGAAGACAAACGGGTGGAGTACCGTGTCCACTCCGGCTAACAGCAGCTCTGTCACGCTGGCGTAGATATCTTTCGTGCTCAGCTGGGAATTGGACAGGAGGTACGTCAATATTCATCCTCACATCCTGGTCATTGTCCAGGCGCTGCTGAATGTCCTCCATCTTCTTGTCGATCAAAGTTTTACCTTAAACGACAGAAGTAAGATGAAACAGAGGCGACCCACAGTTTCATTTCGCTGCAGTTGCCTCCAACAGCCGCTCAGCTTAGCAAACTTCTTCAAACAAGATGCAATATCTTCCATTTGTTCACAGAGGTTTGAGCATTTTTGGTAAATCCAATAAAGGAAGAGATGGGATCATATCAAAGATACAAAAGCAGCGTCGATGGCTAGTTTAGCTGGTCTACGGGTTATGATGTTTGCAGATGACGTTGTGCTCTTCAGTAGAGACATGGAGGTATGCTCTATGGGGCAGAAGCAGGACAGTCGGTTACAGTGGATGATGTAGCACCAACCTGAAAACCAAAAGTTAAGAAGTCTTAAAATGTCTGGAGTTCATTAAAAAATGCAAGTTAACCTTTTGGGACTTTTCTGTCTGGCTCAGAAATCTTCCTTGCAGTTTGTGACCGGAGGCAGTTGCAGCTGAAGCTAACAAGCTTCTATTATACTTTTGGTAGCTACTTAGCTTTTTGCATCTATCCTATAGGAGAGCAAATTAATCACCAGTTGGTTCAGGCCACTGGCTCGCTTCTGTAAAGCTTCAGCAGCTCACCAAAGCTGAAGATGCCGTCCAGCTGGAGATGTAGCGCCGCCAGTAGGGAGCAGGCTGCGGCTCCACTTTGGGAAGATCGCCACAGGAAAGGCGTTGGAAAACATCTGGGAGATGGAAGTGATGAACTCCTGGGTCCCGGCGGGAATCTCCTCTCTCAGACAGCCGAGCCTCGTCTCAAACAGTATGGAGGAAATTCCTGAGAGGGAAAACCTACATATTCAAATAAAATCTGTTCTCAGAGATTCATCACTGATGCACAGTGATGGGACACACCTTCCAGTGAAAACAGGTAGAACTTGTTGGCGACGTCAGGAACCCGGTCGCCTGTTGGGCTGCAGAGACGCAGACGTTTGATCCGTTTGATGAAGTCTGTCACCACGGCGTTGATCAGCCCGTCATACTGAGCTGACTCCCTGGGATGCAGCATCCGCTTGTTGAGAACCGCCCTCAGCCGGTACCAGCGCTCCCCTTCCCTGGCAGCACAAACAGGGAACGTCCATCAGAAAAGCTTCATCAGCTTTCAGGAAAACGTTTGGTCTGAAGTTTCCTTCTGGATTCATCGATCAGCTTAGTTTAACTTTTTAGGTTGAATCCTTTTGTTGCACAGTAACACCACATTCTCTGAGCCTGCATTACGTTACAGTTTAAACCTCTATTGTCTCTACTTTGGCATTTCTTAGATGTATTTTCTAGTTGATTGATTTTAAATCTCAGTTGTTCCTCATTAGTGACCTGTTTCCATTTCTACCTGATCAGGGTCCTAAAGCCCGTTATCTTTCCACATATGTAAACACCAAGCAGACCAGAAACAGGAAGTGGACTACAGCACAGGGCATTCTGGGTAAATACAACCAAACCAAGCGTGTTAGCCTAGCATTAGCGGGGAAATGAGTCGTGGTTCGTTACGACAAGAGAGAAATCCTCCAACCGCTAACATTTGATGGCATTCCCATTTTTGTTTACATTTCTATAAAACAAAGAAGATGATGGTTTTTGGTTCAGTGGTTCCTGGTGCAGCGCCCCCACAGGCGAGGAGGGGAACAAGTTGTTCAAACAACCTGTTTGAACTTTAGTCCCCAGTTGAACCGAGTGTGCCAGACTATCAGCTGTGACTGTGGCCTTAATCAACAGCTGTGCTTCAAGCAATCAGTTTTGTTTCTGACTGGAAACCATCAAGTTCAGATTAAGTCCGCCCGTTCTGCCCAGACCGGTCTGATAACCAACCAGTGGGGGAGGGACCAGGAAGTGAACGGTGTTTACTCTGTGAGGGGTCCGTAGCCCAGGCCTCTCATCTCGCGGTACTCCGTCCACAGAGTCATGTCTCCTCTGGTGGGAAACTTGTCGTCGTTCCGGAGCAGCTCCTCCAGCAGCTCGGCGCTGCTGACCGACACGGCGTTGCGTCCGTTTTTATAAATGGGTCCATAGAGCTGCTTCTCATAGACCTTCAGACAGCACAACATGGTTACACGCAGCATTAACACGCAATCAAAAGCAGAGCTGCTCTAACTGCTGCAGCAGTGATATTAATAAAGAAATATGCATTTGCAGCC